GTGCTGATGTCACGTTTGAAGAATCTGTTCCATATTTTCCAACACCTTCTCAGCCTTTGGATCTGGACTTTGGGTCATCTCTTGTACCACCATCTCTTTCCTCATCTTCAAATATCCCGTTGCCCACTGTGTTACCATCTACTTTACCTCTCCGTGTCTACTCCCGCCGTCCTCGCCCTTCGACTGAGATGCCCATACCATCTTCCTTACCGCCTTCTAATCCTGGTACGTCAGGTAATTTAGACTCTTTACCTATTGCTCTTCGCAAAGGTACTCGTTCGCGTATTACTAATCATCCCATTTTCCATTTTATTTCATATGATGCCTTGTCTCCTATCTTCTCTTGTTTTACTTCTCAATTATTTGTTATATTTATTCCTAAGCATGTCTAGGATGCATTATCTGATCCGACTTGGAGAAAAGCTATGGAGGAGGAGATAGATACCTTACATCATAATGGGACTTGGGATCTCGTTCTTTTACCCCCTGGTAAACGAACTGTTGGCTGTCATTGGGTATATACTGTTAAATTTCATCCAGATGGTTATGTGGAACATCTCAAAGCCCGACTTGTTGCAAAGGGCTTTATTCAGACTTATGGTGTTGATTATGAGGAAACTTTTTCTCCTATTGTCAAAATTTCCTCAGTTCGTATCATGATTTCTTTGGCTGCTAATCTTGATTGACCTTTATTTTAGTTAGACGTCAAGAATGCCTTCTTACATGGTGACTTGGTTGAAGAGGTATATATGGAGCAGCCACCTGAATTTATTGCTCAGGGGGAGTATGGTAAGAGTGTATGTCGGTTAAAAAAATCTTTATATGGTTTGAAGCAGTCATCGAGAGAATGGTTTGGTAAGTTTTCAGATACAGTTTTAGAGTTTGGTCTTCTTCGATGTCAGACAGACCATTCTGTGTTTCATAGACAGACAGATACTGGATATGTCCTATTGATGGTCTATGTAGATGATATTGTGATTACTGGAAATGATTCTGAGGGGATTGCAAAGTTAAAAACATTCTTACAGAATCGATTTCATACTAAGGATTTGAAAAAACTCAGGTATTTCTTGGATATTAAGGTAGCTCGATCTAAACAGGGTATTTGTTTATCTCAGAGAAAATATGTACTTGACATGCTTGAGGAAGCATGTTTGCTCAATGGCAGACCTATTGATGTTCCTATGGATCCGAATCATAAACTTTTGATGGATGATAGTGCACTATTTGAGAATCCAGGTCGGTATCGCAGATTGGTTGGGAAGCTCAATTATCTCACTATTACTCAACCAGATATTTCCTATGCAGTCCGTATAGTAAGTCAGTTCATGGGGTGTCCTAGAGTACCACATTGGGATGCAGTTACTCGTATTCTGCGATATCTCAAACGTGCTCTTAGACTTGGACTGTTATATCGAGCTAATGGACATCTTAGAGTGGAAGGTTTCTCAGATGTTGATTGGGCTGGCTCTCCTTCTGATCGGAGAGCAATAACTGATTATTATACTTTCTTAAGAGGTAACGTTGTCTCATGAAAAAATAAGAAACAATCCATGGTAACAAGATCCAGTGCTAAAGCTGAGTATAAGGCAATGACGCATACAACGGGTGAGTTGACTTGACTACTACACTTCTTCCAAGAAATTAGGTTTCCAGTTCAATTTCCTTTACAGTTGTTCTGTGACAACCAGACTACTATCCATATCGCTATCAATCCTGTGTTTCACGAGAGAACCAAGCATATTGGGGTTGATTATCACTTTATTCGGGACAAGATAGTAGCTGGGAGATTACAACTCCATTTGTGAAATCTGAAGATTAGCTTGCAGATATGTTTACCAAAGCATTGAGTCGTACACGTCTTACAACTATGTATTCCAAGCTTGAATTATATAATATATATAGTCCAGCTTGAGGGGGAATGTTAAGAATAATAGGGTAGTATGTATAAATTATTAAAAGTAAGAGGGTGTGTGTAATTCTTATTATTGTAGATTAACTATAAATATAAGTGATGTATAAAAGCTAGGTTAAGTTTTGACCTCTCTCCTTCTCTCTAATATTGTGTTATGTTAATTCATTAAACTTAACATATATCAAAGAAACTAATCTAACATCAAAGCTCCAAGTAATCTAACATTAAGCCTTCTATATGTACAATAAAACATGTTTCAGCAACAAATCAAACCACGGCTTTTTTAAATAGCCCCAAGCATTGCAGAACCAAAACACATAAAAAAGGAGATTTTTGTAAAATTTTCTGTATCTGCAGGGACTTGAGAGACTGAGAAAGAAAAGGAGATTTTTGTAAAAATTTTTGTATCTGCAACACAGTTTGGATAGTCTGCTGCAGGCTGGAGCTGAATGGAGAGGAAAGGAGTATAAAGTAGCTGTTGCAGGTTGAAGTACTTTTTTGAGCAGTAGATTGATGCAGTGCTAGAGTGTTTGGAGCTGATGAATGGGTGTAATGCAGCTAGATTATTGCAGATATGCTGAGAGGAGATGGTAACTGCATGTGAGTTAAAGCTGACTTGTATGGAGAGTTGCTCTTTCCAGCTGGTTCAGCAATTGCAGCAGGTGTACAGGAGGAAACTAAACGGTTTTTTGTCTGGATTTTCCTGTAATAAATTCTGTAACATAATTTATGTTATAGGGCAGAGAAAATTTGTTTTGTAACAGTTCTATTTTTGGTTTTGTTAGCACAGTTACTGTTTTTGTCTTAAAACAATTTCCGTTTTGATTCTTGTAATTTTGAGGTTTATTCAAGAAATTTTCTTTTTTTTAAAAAAAAGAGAATCTGGGAACACCCTTTTTTAAAACAGAATCTCACCCTTTTTTTTTTCCTTACTGTTTTCTGGCTTCCTTTTAAAGCTAATCACAAACAATATCATACCTATTTCTCTCACAAACTTAGGCAACTGGAACAAAATCATGCCACTAATTATTTATAACACTTACCTCTCCAGCAATAACAAATGATGATATGGTGTATAAAATTAGCACCAACAGAGCATGAAACCCATTCACCTGCACGCAAAAGTTGGATATTAATATTAATTATAAGTGAACAACAATTTGCAATTATTTCACGTATTTGCCAATTTGAACAACATAAATATACCATCAAATTTCATGTTCAATAAGCCACGTATGCAGTATTCAGAATAATAAACTAAAAATCAATCTTTATAGACAAAATAACAACAGGCATCTTGATAATTTCCACCATCAAACACAAGTATCACCCAAATATCTATAATATAATAAATTCAACCCAGTCAAAGAAAGGGGAAGTCCGAAACCAAAACACCAAAGTTGTAATACCTCACATGAGGCTATAAAGATAGAGCACAACTTATCGCCATACAGTCCCCCAGTTCAGATCCAGTTGTTAAAGAGCATCAAAATAAGCAAAGGACACAAAACCTCTAACTTTAATCACATTACAAGAAACTAACAATGTATCATGCAAAATTCAATCCAAACAATGTAAATCCAAAAAGTAACGAAGTTTAGAACATCAAATTCATATACACGGGACAACTTGTTACAAGAATGGAAAGGAAATCACTTACCAAGTGAATAACAATGATGCTAACATGGCCAACTTCTTCACTCTTAATGGTTACCAGCAAGACATTGCCCGGAACATCTCCTGGACCTTTGTTGTTTGCAATTTCTTATCCAAATTGTCCCAAGATCTGGCAACGCCCCAACTAAGATAATCGATAAAACCCACAAATAGATATAAACAATGAGCCACCAATTCTAAGTTAATAAACAACCATAAAAACACATAAAATTTGGGATAATATCAAAATACAAAAACCAAACAAAACCTAGAGATTGGGATAATATTTTTCTCAATCATTTCAACAAACACGTCATGTGTGGTGTGTGTGTGTGTGTTTGCTGAGAATTTGCTTATGTGCTGGGTGTGCGTGTATTGTGGGGGTGTGCAATGTGGGTGTATGCTGAGTATGTGGGTGTGTTTGATGTGTTGCAGAGGATATAAAGAGGAAGAGAAAGACTTTAGATTCGGACTAAAACCAAAGAATAAATAATATAATTATCAATTAGGAGTTTAGATTCAGTGTTTGAGCCCATGAATCAACTATTTATTACATAGGAAAACTGAGAAAACAAAAATTAATTTGGAACAAAAATTCTACTTGCCACCCAAATGCTTTTACCCCTAAAATATGTTTCTATGTATGTTTGAGCACATTCAAATGGTTGAATTTTCTAAATGTAGGAACTATTTTAAAATAGATGCTGCATTTAATGAAATCAAAGACCATGGCAGAGACGTTAAAGGTGCAAAAGAAAATATGGAACATTGATGAGGATAGCTATGTAAGTTTGTAATAAAACGTTTTTGTTGTCTACCTCACTCTTACTTCATTCATCCCACGTCAAGGCTATGAAATCAAAAAAATTTAAAAATTCTGGCAAAATTCCCTCTAATAACAGTCTCGTAAACATTTAAACCTGTATATAATTTTTTTTAGTTTCATAACCACACCCTGAAAGAGAGAAATAAAACACTACTAAGAGTAAGAAATAAAAACAAACACTATCACGTGTGTTTGATATCATCATCCACCAAAAGAGACACCAAGGTGAACAACCAACATGTTCAACTATACTCCCAAAAACAGAACCATGAGCTTCAGCTACTAAAAATAAAATAAGAAAAGAGCTTCACTCAATGATCTACTTACCAGCTATTAAAAAAAGAGCTTCACTCGATGATCTACTCAATGTAAAAGGTCGTATAAAAAGTTATAGATCAAAAAGCTATCTTCACAATTTACAATCACAAATTCATCATTATCCAATGTCCAGTACAAAGAATATATGCAGAGGCATGGCTTTAGAGAGGTTTGAAAAAAAAAAAAGATGTAGGGGGAGGCTGCATAACGGATGAAGTGACTGAGGGTGGCCTGATTTTGAAAAATAATGAGTAAAAAGAGATAAATTTTGAAAAATTATTATAGATATAATTTCAAATTCACTTCATCTCAATGCAATACAATTGCAAAGGAATTTTATTTCTTTAAACGAAGAAGGTATGCATTGATTAATCATACAAATGTAGCAACACTTTAATACCTGTTCTGCGATCTTGATTCCATTCTTCTCAACACAACTAATGAAAATTAAATAAATTTTTCTAAATTAAGTCGAAACACTTGAAAAGATAACTAAAACTAAGTACTCTCTAAAGTGTTTTGCATACTTAAAATACGTTGTCATTTTGTCAAAAGGTCTCCTCTTCTCATCTTTTCCTTAAATCTCACTGCAAAACCAAGAGTATATATGTAAAACCAATACTTTAGATCTCAAAAGAAAAAAAATATATATGATTAACCCTTGCATTCATGTTGAACCAATTACAAGCAATGTAATTCTTGTAGATTTAATTCGTGCAATGGTACATGTAAAAATATAAAGTAATATAATTTCAAATTCACTTAATCTCAATGCAATAAAATTGCAAAGGAATTTTATTTCTTTAACCGAAGAAGGTATGCATTGATTAATCATATAAATGTAGCAACACTTTAAGAACAACAAAGGTATCCATCTTACCTCTGAAGCTAAATAAAACCCCAAAATATTAGGATCCTTATTATCCACGGATTTTTGCACAGTTTGCATTTGATAATGACTGAACTCAGAAGCATGAAGTGTCAAGCAATGGCACATATTCAGGAAAAATATTTGGAACTTACAGCATGTTTCAGTTGCAGGTGGGTGTCATTTATGCAGGTGCCCAAGACAATTGATTTCCATATGCTTTAGATTTAAAAAGGGAATAAATTGCCACCTTGGAATAATCAACAAACCACAAGTATCAAGAAACTTGAACCTACCAAAGGGATGAACAAAATTAAATTAATTACCGAGGCTAAGACACAGAAAAAGGTGGTATGTTAAATTAGATTTATCCCTTTTGATAAAACACTGAATAGTTCCTGGCTGAAAACGAAAACAAACAAAATTAAGTATCGTTGTTCCCAACACTTATTAATACTCTTCTCTACTCTTTGAACACAAATTCTATACTTCCATGAAAACCCAACTCATACAATTTAGGTTAACTCTACAATAAAATGATGTAAGTATAGGGGTCAATATGTCACACATACTAATGTCGTACATAGAAAAACTGAGAAAAAACAGAATCAGATCCGCCCACAGCTAGTAATCAATAGAATGCTGCACAAAGAAAAAGAAAAAGAAATTTAAATAAAAAAAGTTACTACTGAATCCTCAAAAAATATATACACCTGTTCGATGAGTCGATGAACAGGACTACCATTAGATGTGAGATTTGAAGTCTCTCTATATGTATTTTGAAACAACCAAAGTAAATCGCGGGTGAATTTCGATGGCAGTGGCGGGTGAGTGGGTGTGTGGTGGGTCTCTCTTCGACATCAAACCATCCAACTTCTTTCCTTTTGGGTGTGTGTGGGTGTGTGGTGGATCTGTGTTGGGCGTGTGTGTGTGTGTGCGATTTGTGTGTGGGTGATGAGTGCGTAGAAGAGGGCAGGGAAGAGACGGGGGTAGGATGGGTGTGTGTGTGTGTGAGAGAGAGAGAGAGATGAGGCATACCTGGGAGGGTAGCAGCGACGGTGCGATGTTGCTGGTGGAGTCGCTGGTGGTGTCGCTGGGGTGGCGGTGGTGTTGCTGACTTCGGCGATAGATGGTAGTAAGAAGAAACAGAGGGAGAAAGATAAAGAGAGAGAGAGAGAGATGACCTCTGAAGAAGGCTTGGGGCGGTGGTGGTGGTGTTGCTGACTTCAGCCGTGATGGTGGTGTTGCTGGTAAGAAGAAACAGAGGGAGCAAGATAAAGATATAGAGAGAGAGTGAGATGGTCTGTGAAAGATGCGTCTGACAGAAGAGTTGTGGAAAAAAAATGATGTCCAAGGAGGTAACTCAGGCCATTTTTTTTTTCGTTGTATCAAAGAGAAGGAGTGACCGCTGCCAGATGAAGTGATTGAGAGATCAAAATTTTAAATAAATTAGTGGGTTAAAAATGATGAATTTGGGTAAAAATGTGAAGATTTGTGACTGTCGGATGAAATGAATTACCACTCAAATGAAAAAATTATGCAGACTATTAAAAAAAAAAAAGAAATCTACTAAATATCACAGCCTATAAATAAAGAATTATTTCTCCACCTCTATGATAAGCAACAGCTTCTTCTTTTCTTTTGTTTTTTTCTAGGAGCATCTCTGTGGAGGACTAACGAGCTTATCAAGTAAGTTCTTCAGAATTCATTTCTAAGGATTAATTAAATATGCAAGATTATTATTTTTCTATTTACTTGCAATAGCCTGTGTTCTCGAGATTTTTTAATATACTTTTTTTCAGACTTACTCTTTACTCATTTGTGCTTACTTTTATATATGTTATAGATGCATAATTTAAAAGTTTAAGATCAAATTATTCATTGAAATAGTGATCTACTATATCAAAACAAAAAAAATTTAAGGCAACATCCGTTATGAAACTAACCTTTTGCAGAATTTCTCTAAAAATTGAAATAGGAGGGCAATAAAATTTTTGAGAAGATAAAAGAAGGAAATAAGGTGTTCGATTTTACTTCGTCCCTTGAACTATTGAATTATTCACATTGATCCCTATCTACTTCAATTACTTCGCATTGCTTCAAACACAAATGTTAATTATCTTTTTAGACAGAAATTGTCAACATGTCAGAACAAACTTAAAAAAGTCACATAGTTCGAGCGACAAAAAAAAATAATTTTTCATCCAATTTGTAACTAACGTTAGTTATTGGGGCATAGTAAAGATAACCATAGTAACAGAAGGTGTAATATGAAAAATATAATAATTAAGGGGACAATATTGAAAGAGGGTCATAGTTGAGGGGTCAAAGTGTAATTTAATCCAAATTTGAAGAAATTTTACATTATTTGTTCAATTCCACCCCAATCTTCAAATTTCATACCACTAAAATTACATTTTCATATTTCTTTCCTTTTTTTTTTTTTTTGGGTAAGTATAGTTTTCATATCTCACTTGTGTTCCTGAATGAGAAGCAGGGTATCTTTCGACAAATTCTTTAATATCTGTGTTGCTGGGCCTTTGTTAATTTCAAAGGGATATAGCAAATGAGCATCCAGTTGTGTATTACCATAAAAAACGAGCTTGCCTCTTTGTCGTCCACACCGTTTCAGCCCTACATCTTCAAAGTGGATGGCCAACTATGCAGGGAAAACAAGAAAGCATATGAACCAGAAATATTTTCTATTGGTCCGTATCACCATGGTAAAGCTAAACTGCAAATGATGGAACAACATAAACTACGGTACCTATAACAGTTGTTTAACCGAAGAAATAGGTTGAGTGTGGATAATTTTATTAATGCCATGCAAGATTTGGAGGAAAAAGCACGAAAATGTTATGCAGAGTTCCTTGGATTTGGGAATGATGACTTTGTGCGAAAGATGTTTCTTGATGAGTGCTTTATAATCGAGTTCTTTTGCAAGTTTAAATATGGAGCCCATATGGATGACCCAATTTTAAATTCAACGGTTCAAGCATATTATAGGTGAAGATTTACTGTTATTTGAAAATCAACTCCCATTTTTTGTTCTCCCTCGCTTAATAGACCAAGATTTATCAGATATGAATATTGATCTCTGATGGGACATTTTCAAACACTCCAATATAAGCAACACGTGTACTCGGCGTCAAAGGAAATACTCTGTTGTGGTCACGACACGTGCTTGTTGGACCATGATCTCCCCCTTCCCCCGAGGAGGGTACTAGGCATAAGGACCTACGACGCCGACATGCACGACACGTGTTCCTCGGTCGAATAAGGGGGTACGTCGGTCCCTAACCGTACTAGGCCTTCGGCACCGAAGTGTATCCACTACATCGGCGTTTTGTTCCTGCAAGGTTGTTGATAGACAAGACATCAGCCTGGACTAGTCTAGATTAACCATCATGACCTGGTCCTACCTGGATGGTGTCAGAGCGCACAGCAGAGGACTCAACCAATGGGGAGCTAATGCGTGGAATACTGTGTCAGTTCAGGGACAAAAAGACCATAACGCCCTTGCTAACACACGACTTGGGAAAGCAAGTATTTAATGCACATTTCCCTTGATAAGACAACATTTAACGCATGATGACGAGGAAGTGAAAGGTAATAAATACTCTTGTGACTGAGCATTTAATACACCCCTGCCGAGTGAGGGTCATTAAACATTCGACAGACCGAGAGTGATGCATTGGTTACTCGAGGTCCCGAGCAGTTAAGAAGGATGTCATTTCTCCTAAAAACCAGTATACACGTTACCCACCTCTAATGATCACCTACTGACCACACTAACAGCAATCATGAGTTTTGAAGGTATAAATACCCTTCACAAAAGGCAAGAGGGTACGCAAAAACCTTTTCTCAAACCTATACATAGTGTTTTCTTCTTTCCCTCTCTCAAAGAACTGACTTGATCGTCGGAGGGGATATGCCGAAAAACACTCCGGCGCCCTCCTAACTCGTTTTCTCTGTTTCAGGAACCTCTCTCAGTCTTACTGGACCGCTCTGACGACCCACAAAAGTCACCCATTATCGTTCAGGCTACCACCGGTCCTCACAGTCTGTTCTAAGCAGCAAGGTTGACCAACCAACTCGTGTTCACCACGGGAGAGATCTGTTCTCGTGTTTATATTGTGTAAGATCCTGCACGCACAATCTCATTTTTCAAACAGTACCCTTCATCTTCTCACATCTTTTTTCCCAAACAAGGTATTCAGAAGCATCCTCTGTTCCAAGGCAGAATGTCAAACATCTACTACGCCTTGTACATGATACTTGGTGTTCCTCATTTAAAACGATCGTGTCTTTCCATCAGAATGTTGGAGACCAAGAAAGAATATGGGAATACATAAAATGCACCACAAAACTTTGATAGGCCGGGATTAAATTTGAAAATACTACAGAAAGTTCCTCGTTGCTGGATATAAACTTCGAAAAATGGAATCATGAAATCCCACCTTTAAGTATTTATAATAGTACTGAGGTCATTTTTAGAAATTTGGTTGTATATGAGCAATATAATGACATAAATCAACCAACTTATGTGACTGATTATAACAAGTTTTTAGATTGTCTCATCAATTCTCCTGGCTAGGTGATGATGAAGTCATTTCGACCATGTTGAACAAATTGGACAATAATGTCATCCAAGATCCTACAACTTTCTGCTACTCAGAAATTTTCAACAAAGTTAACAAGCACTGCAAACATCGTCAACACATATGAAAGGCCAAATTAAAGCATAATTATTTTAGTAGCCCATGGTCTATCATTTCGCTTTTTGGTGTTACTCTGTTGCTTCTGTTGACTATGTTATAGACTATATTCTCTTGTTTACAAGTCTGATTTGAAGTCCAGTTTGATTTACGTGTCTCCTTAAGCAAAAGCACTGTGTTTCAAATAAGTTGTATTGATTATGTGGTCAACCAGTTGTTTCACAAATGTACTGTAAAAATCTCTCGATGTGAAAAAAGTGTGGTTGTAAGAACTTTCAATTTGAAATGTTTTGGAGGTCACTTAAAATGGTTAGCAGCGCAGTTTCTAGTATAAGTAAAAAAATGTTCGCATTATTGGGTGACTATTGAGTGGCTCTTGTATGGATCTTCTCGTGGGTCCATTATACTGGGTAACTAGTATGTATTGAGTGACTATTTGTAGGGAGTGCAAGTGAATCAAACCGAACAATAGACTATCAAAACTCAATTTGTTCGTATGAGAATAGTGTTTAAAGTCCGCTTGGCTCAGGTCATTTGATAAATAAACTTTGCTTAAACTTTTAGTTAAGGGTATAAAAATGATAATTTTATAAAAGGGTATAATACATGAAATGGTAGAAAGTAATAAATTAACAATCTAAAAAATAATTGAATAAATACATTTACAACGTATAAAAATCGTCGCAAAAAAACTTGCTCCTGTAATTTTTCACAATGATTTTTATTTCATCGCAAAAAATTTCTTTTTTTTTTTATTTTACATAAAAAATGATATTTCAATAAAAATTTTCACCTGTACACTAATAATACCTGTATTCAATAAAAAAATCAACAAAATTCCACATCTTTTTAAAAAAACAAAATTTTATTTCCAAAAAAAATTAATTACAAGAATAAAAAAACAAGAAGTTCTAAAAATAGAAAAAAATAGGGTTAATCTTTCAAGGGGATTTACACCATCTCTAATTACATTTAATGTCTCTTAAATTTGAATAGCTCCAACAGTCTAGCTCCATGCATTGAAATACCATCTCCAAGCTCAACACTATTCAGGATTTGCATAATCAAACTGACCACCGCACACAACCATTCCATTTGAAATATCTGCCAACATGATTGTTTTATGCTTGTCACAAACCTATCAAATACATGGAAAAATATTGAACTTAAAATTTATAGGCCATCAAGAGAATTCAAAGTAAGCTCTATCATTTAACAAAACAAATCTATCAGATGATATCCAAAATAAATTGATCTAGAAAAAACATTGTATTAAACGAACACATGGAAAGGTTATAGGTACATATTCATTTTAGAAAGTGAGAATATGTTTGTTTTAGGTACCATTCAACTTGTCAATAAATTTAGATAGAACCATGGCTATAAGTATAGTTGGAGTAGCTCATTATTTACTACAGATGGCGTTTGGACTCCCAGATCTGTAAAGAGTAGGGTATCCAATCGTTAAGTAGTTATATCCACTACCTATACACAAACAAGAGTGCCACTGTGATCATGACCAATTATTGACTTACACCCCCTCAGAATGGAGTTAAAACCATAAGTACCCCTACAAAATTTAGTGTAAAATCCAAACGAATATTACCACCACCTCTTACAACCAGTAAAAGAATATTAGGCAGCACGTTTGAATTATAATTTACTTACACGTGAACAGCTTAAAATTTTTTATTGTTGACAAGTTTTGAAACATATCATCCATATGGTGCCGTTGATCTACCGAATCATTCTAAGTTTTATTATAGTGGTAACACAAGAGTTGCACTGACACTTTCTACAAAAGTAGAATCCTATGAATTACCACGTGCCCAACCCATGGCAGAGACTAGTATTCATAAAAAAAGCCACCAGACACCTGGTGGGTAAACACTGACTTAGAATTATAAAGAAGCATGTTGATATGTACTAATTGAATCAGGAAGTTGTAGTTCTTACCATTGGAGCTAAGAATAATGAAGCATCTGCAACCCGAGAAGTAACAATAACATTGGGTTTGTACCTTTTCCCTACATTCAACAATAGGAGCAGCTCCCATATAAACACTAGTGACCTGCATAAATATAACAGAAAAATATCAGTCAATTTTTTATTTACAAGGGAAAAGAGGAGGATGGAAAAGGAATAACAGGAAGTAAATGCTTTAAGTATAAAGAAACAGGGATAGACTAAAATTCTCATCTGCAGGTCCGCACCCTCTCGCAGAAGGGGCAAAATGATAGAAGCATACAAGCAGAGCAGCAGGAAGCAGTTGACACAACCAAGAGCAGCTGAAAATAGAGCAGCAATAGACAGAGACAGACCAGCTGAAGAGACCAGAGAAGCATCAGAGAGGCAGCTGAGAGCCAGCAGAATGCAGCAGAAAAAGCCATTTGAGAGGCAGCAGCATCAGAAATTCTAGCTGAAACACAGCAACTACAGGACATCAGGGGCAGAAATTCCAGCTGAAACCCGCAGAAGAAGGCTGAAAAGCCATGAGAAGAACTAGCAGAAAGCCAGCTGAAAGATCACCACATCGCCGCTAAAAGGAACATTTCGCAGCCTCAGAAACCATAAATAGCAAATATAAACCAGCTGAGAGCTGGGGCGGAGCCAGGATCCTCTTAGAGGGGGCAAAAAAATGACTAAAAAAAATTCACTAATTGATAAAAAAAAATTTCAAGTTCAAGCAAGACAAAGTGTTTTAGAATCAAGACTAATTTATTATATGAAACTACAAAATAAAATTTCCTTTAAAATATGATCTATAAATAACTTTTAAATCTCAAAAATAGGTTATAAGTGATTATTTTTAGTTACTTACTAAAAGAAAAAATGTTAGGGATAACTTCACATTTATTTTCCTCAATCCAAAAATAAAACATTTGTTTCAAGCGGGTAATGAGGCAGTGAACTACTAAGTTGTTTAAAAAAAATTAAAAAAAGACTTTGATCACTATTAATTCCCAAAAAGTTAGGGGGAGCAAGTGTATTAAATTTAAAAAAAATTAAGTCCTTAATATGTCATATGTAGAGCTGATCAAAAGTTCAGTGGGGACAAATGCCCCCATAACTGATTACATAGCTCTGCCCCTGGCTGAGAGAACCATATAAGAAAGCAGATGAACACCAGCAGAGCAGGGGAGATAGGAGAGCAGCAGAGAAAGATGAAGACCAAAAGAAAACCGGCTGAGAAGACTAGAAAAGCCAGCTGAGATCCAGCAGAACAACAACAGTCAGACTGTTCACGTGAACAGTCACGTGAACAGTGCACAGAAGCCCAATCAAGACAAAGTGTTTGCGCAATAGAATAGGTGTGTCACACAGAGGTTTCCCTACTGGCAGAAACAGCACAGATACTGCAATCAGATGTCAATCCAATGTTAAAACAGAAGAAATGAGTGCCAAGCAGTATGCTTAAGTTACCTGATATGGGTATGTGAATAATGCTAGAGAATAGACACCAATAAGTACACCCTAACTAAAGCATACAGATAAATGGAGAATATGCTTTCACTGAATCCTTAATATTTTATGAAGATAACTTCTTTTAGTTTATTCATTGCGCTTAGAAACTGCACCCATACAAAACTTAATATTTAATCAGTGTGGACTGAAAGACATACCATTTAGATTATTCAATCAATCACTGCCAAAATCTTCATAACCGAAGCCTTCTGATATAGTGTCCAACCTCTTACCGTCTCCTGACGGGCCAGGGCACAATAATTAGTTACCCTCCTGAATAGAGAACAAGGTCAAATGGAAAGAATCTTACCTTGGTGGTCTCCCCTATCACTTGGATCGAAGTAATTGTCTGTACCTGCTGCCTGGAAGGGTGACCTGGAGTAGCTCTCCAATATATCTGAGGTGAAATAAAAAAAGGGCTTCAGGTCATGTAAATGTGTGAAGTAGGATAAAGCTCTTGCATCTTGGCGAAAAAATTTCTAAATGAGTCAAACTAACTTGCTGACAATGTAGTTGATCCATCAGAATTCAACACACACACCCACACATACACACACAGATAGAAAGAGAACCCGAACTATTAGAAAAGTCAGCTGCCAAGTCTGATAGACTGAAGTTTCGAGGTATCTGTCCTAAAAGTCCAATTGAAGAGACATTGGCATCCAGGATTGTTCCATTCAGTGGTTGCAAATTAGATTCTATGCTGCTGAAAGATGAACAAGAAGCATCCCCAATAGCAGGACATGTTTCCAAGACACTACCATTAGCACCAAACAAGTACTGAGAATTTCCGACATATCCAACTTCGGATTTGATCATCCCCCCATTCATTCCTTGTATCATTCCCACATTTGAACACTGAGCCAACAGTACGTTTGGTGGTACATCAATCCTTCTGGCATGAGCAGAGATATCAACAGCTGTTTGCAGGCGTTGGTGAAGTGATGACCCACCATTGGGAAATGCATTTGGTAAAGTGGTACCTATAGGCTGTTGCATGTTATTAGGCTTTAGAGCAGGTCCAGTTTGGTCTGTGACATAGCATGCTGTGTTCTGGTGCACTGCAGCAAACACCACTAATATAATTAGTAGTGTGCGTGCAAGATCCTGCACAATATAAAAAACGAGAACAGATCTCTCCCTTGGTGAACTTCGGGTGAGCCGGTTGGGTGATCTGACACGCTGTTTGGGACAGCCTGCAAGGTTCGGTGATAACTCGGAACGGCGACGGGAGACCCTGGGAAAGGAAGAACGATCCTGTAAAGCTGGAGAGAGGTTCCTAGAACAAAGAAGAACAAGTTAGAAGGGGGCCGGAGTGTTTTCCGGCGTATCCCCTCCGACGATCTAGTCAGTCTTTGAGAAAGAGAGAGAGAGAGGAAGGAGAAAACACTGAGTGTGTTGTGTGTATTGTAGTAGAGAGTTTGTTCTTGCATACCCGCTTTGCCTTTTGCAAGGAGTATTTATACCTTAAAAGCTCATGATTGCTGTCAGTGCGGTCAGTAGGTGATCATTAGGCACAGGTAGCGTGTACATTTGATTCTGATGAGGAATGTCTTCTCTAATTAACTGCTCGGGGTCCCGAGCAATCAATACTGGGTCGTCGGGATGCCGACGGTACAATGTGCTCCTCTCGGGGAGGATGCAATAAATGCTCTGTAATAGCAGCATTTATTGTCTTTCATTTCCGAGCCTTACCGCATTGAATGCGGTCTCATCAAGGGAATGGTGCAATTAATTGTTTGCTTTCCCAAGTCGCGTGTCAGCAACGACATGCGGTTTGTCTGTCTCTGATGTGATATCATATGCCACGCGTCCATCCCCTATTGGCTGTGACCTCTGTATTCCAGTACGTTCTGACATTACTTGTGTAAGACGAGGTCATGATGAATATCCTAGGCTAGCCTAGGCTAATGACCTGCACGTCAATAGCTTATCCTGGAGCAGAGGAAGTGTCCAGGAGGGTATCTCTCGGCACCGAGGAAAGGCTCATCTCGGGGACCGAGGGAGGTTGCCGACCGAGGTACATATCTGACCCCGAGAACACGTGTCGGTTGTAAAACATACTGAATGTATGATCCTATATGACGGTACCTTGGGGGCGAGGACATTCGTGCGCCGATGGTGCTTGATCTTAGCAACAATGCTTTAGTGGAACCGAGGACACGTGTCTTCATCATAGGGTATTTCAGAAAAGTCCCATCAACTGCCCCCCAGCCTTCGATCTTCTGACACCGAGGACACGCGTTGTAAGGAGACGAAGGGTTTCCCAACTACCACCCGTCCTTCATCATGGCCTCGAGCCGCTTTCCCCGGCTTGGGATGTCGTGCGCATTAAATGCGCCGTTTCGGTTTTCGTGCCCAATGATGAAAATTGCCCCTATATAAAGGGGGTTCCTCTCCGGTTTCCTTCGTTTTGCCATTTCGAACTTTTCTCCAGAGTACGTCTTCTTGAATCTTCGCCGGAGTTTTGTTTTTTCTGCCATCGTCGACTGCCCATTCTCCCTCAAAATCTTAAAGCCAGCAGACCCATTGTTGATTTCTGAACTTTCTGGAGGGAGTCGTTTTAAGGTTTTCCAGAAAAACTCCATTTTGACGTTCGGGTGAGTTTCAGAATTCTCTTTCTTTTCCTCCTCCTAGCCTTTTGTTTTCCGATTGACTGGAGGTGTCTTCCGGTCGATACATACCGATTCAACCCTCGGGAAACTTCCCCAGGGATTTCCAAGAACAAATACCCTCTTCTTACTTTTTTAGAGATGCCTCGTCGTCGCCCTGCTCCCGAGAATCCTCAGGCTGGTCCTTCGGGGTCAGGGAAATATAAGGTAAAAGGCGATGAGCAGATCAATAGGTTTAGGGCCAAGTACGACATTCCTCCGTGCGTAGACGTAGAGGACTTTGACTCGGTGGTGCACTCTTCTACCCTCGGGGCCGAGGATGCCATGCCCTTCTATACCAAGGCCATCATAGAGGGTGGAATTAGGTTTCCTTTACCCCCCTGCTTCTTCAGTTCCTCTCTCATTTCCGCCTCTTCCCCGGGCAATGCTGCCTTAATGTCTTCCGAATAATCATGGGGGTCTTAGAGCTCAATAGGCGCCTCGGGGTAAATATTGGGCTCAACGATCTCCTTTTCTGTTATTCCCTCCTTAGAGTCATGCCTCACCAACACTTCTACCTCAAAGCCAGGGACCCCTCCATGTACCTTGTAACCCATCTTCCTAACTCGGACCAAGGGGTACAAGGACGATGTCCTAATCTTCAAGGGATCTTGGCAGAGAGGTGTTGGTCCCGAGTACAATGACTTGTTGTGCCCTCTGGAATGGAGAACGACAAGTACGTCGGTTCCTTTGGGTTTCTTATTTCTTTCTCCGGACTTCCCATGTTCATGATAACTTTTTTGTTTGTGCAGATATTCCTGCTCGGGAAACAGCTCCTCCCCCTCGGTCGCTTGTGAATTTTTCCGACCTAATCACGGTTTGGAGATTCATGGGTGACAACGGGTTTGGCCGTGCTGCTCACATCCTGCTGAATTATACCCCCGGGTATAAGAAATTTTCACAGCTTCCGCAGCCTTTTGAGCCTTCGCAGTGGTCTGAACTCTTCGATCAGGTGGCGAGGCTAGAGGTTGAGGAAAATTTGGAGGAAGACCCGGATCGGGCTTCAGAGGCAGAGGTCGAGGGAGTTGCTGAAGAGCTCGGGGTCAGAGAGGACGCTGTTCCTTCAGACCCCGAGGTGGGGACTTCGGGAGGAGACTTGTGGCCAGACTTCCAAATTCTTCAATCCTTAGACGCCGAAGATGCTCTCGAGGCAGCGATGTCCAACATCCCTCACATCGATTTGGGGTTCCTTAGGTAGAGGCAAGCCCTCGCAGCCGGGAGAGGTCGAGGAACGACCGACGGCACCCCTTCTGCGGGGACCAGTTCCACCCCATCCTCGAGGGTTCTCGGTCGGGGTCAGGTGCGAGACCGTGATCCTCAGGTGGAGGAGGAGAGAAGGGTCAAACATCGGCATGATGGCCTTAGCCGAGGATCCAGGGCACCTTCCGCTCAGCAGCAAAGCGGGAGGGGCCGTGGATTACCCCCTGCTCCTCCACAACAGCAGCAGCAGCAACAGCCCCGACAACAGCAACAACAACAGCAGCAGACTCCTCCTCCCCTTCCGCCTACAGTGGAGGCCGCGGAGTGGAATCCCCGAGCCACTGATCACATGAACCGAGTGATCAGGGTCGATGATTCCATTTTGTTGGATCCTCATGTCGCCAATGCAGTGAGTGAGACACTGCATTTCAAGGCTGACATGGCGGCTCATAGGGGGCGATCAACCAACGTGTTGTTCCGCTCCATCATCCAGAATTCCCTGGTGGTGAGTTTATTTTTGCTTTGGTTCCTTCACACTTGCTTTCCATTTTTGTGATAACACTTTTTCCTTCCTTTGCAGGCTACCCAGCAGATCTCCATCATTGCTGCTTGGTACCACGGGTCTAGGATGGACCTCCAGAGGGCCCGAGATCAGAAGGAGGAGGCGAAAGCGGCCATCGCCCGGGCAATGAAGGATGTAGCTGCCAGGGATTCTACCCTGGCGGGGCAGGCTGCTCAAATCGAGCAACTCCTCAAGGACGCCGAATCGGCCAAGGTTGGCGCTGAAAAACTAAGTGCTGCCCTTGCCGATGCTGAGAGGAGGATTACCGAGCAAACGCAGCGGCTTTCTGCTGCGGAGGAGAGGGCCGTAGGCTCAGAGGAAAGCTGTCTGGCTCTAACCCAGGAGCTGGACAGGATCAGGGCCGAGGAGCTGAACAGAAAATCGGAGGAGCAACTGCGGGAAGAGTTCGCCGATGACGTGCTCCCTGCTCTTGAAGAAAACAGCAAGGAGTTCTTCAAGAAAGGGTGGGACGAGGCGCTCCAGTCTGCTGGAATCCCCTCAGACTCCCCGCTCTTCCAAATGCACAAGTATGTGCCCTCGGTAGAGATGGCACGGGCCGAAGCAGAGGTCGCTGCCGAGGATGAGGTTCCAACACCAGTGCAAGTGTCGGTGGATCCGCCCGAGCCGGTGATAGTGGATCTGTCCGAGGACGCCCCGTCGGACCATGCCCCTGATCCTCAAAATGCCCAAAGTCTCCCTGTTGCCGAGGTACTTGTCCTGCCTGCTTCAGAAGCTTCTCAACCATTCTTTGCCGACTCGCCCTCGGCTGATGTTCTGGAGATGCCTGGAGCCAGATGAAAGTCTCTTCCTTTTTGATTGTACCCCTTTTTATTTTCTTTTGTAGCCTTTGGGGACGCAAAACCCCTATTTCTCGAAATAAAGAGTATTTCTTTCCTTTTTCTGCGTACAATAATGTTTTGCTCTCTTCCTCTTTTTTTCTTTTTTGTGTCTGCTTCGGGGCTGCTTGCCCAATCAAGTGGCTTGCTCTTGTGTTTGATTCGGGGACAGGAGCCCTTGAACTCTGTCCCCAGGGCCTTACCCTTGCAGGAGGCTTGCTCCTGTGTTTGCTTCGGGGACAGGAGTCCTTGAACTCTGTCCCCAGGGCCTTACCCTTGCAGGAGGCTTGCTCCTGTGTTTGCTTCGGGGACAGGAGTCCTTGAACTCTGTCCCCAGGGCCTTACCCTTGCAGGAGGCTTGCTCCTGTGTTTGCTTCGGGGACAGGAGTCCTTGAACTCTGTCCCCAGGGCCTTACCCTTTCAGGAGGCTTGCTCCTGTGTTTGCTTCGGGGACAGGAGTCCTTGAACTCTGTCCCCAGGGCCTTACCCTTTCAGGAGGCTTGCTCCTGTGTTTGCTTCGGGGACAGGAGTCCTTGAACTCTGTCCCCAGGGCCTTACCCTTTCAGGAGGCTTGCTCCTGTGTTTGCTTCGGGGACAGGAGTCCTTGAACTCTGTCCCCAGGGCCTTACCCTTTCAGGAGGCTTGCTCCTGTATTTGCTTCGGGGACAGGAGTCCTTGAACTCTGTCCCCAGGGCCTTACCCTTTCAGGAGGCTTGCTCCTGTGTTTGCTTCGGGGACAGGAGTCCTTGA